GCGGCCGACCTTGTTGCAGATAGGGCCCCGTAGGGGCTAAGCGGGCGTAGCCTCGCATTCCCTCCTCCATATCTTCGTTAGTCCTCTTCGAAGATCAATCAGTAGCCATCTGGCGCTTTCCTTTCAGTACATCCTTCTCATAGCGGGCAACGATTTGAGGAGCGGTCTGCATCAGTTCCTCCCGAGTAAACCATCGGTCCTCCTTCGGATCTGTATGATGTCTGAAGTGGACTCGGAACTGCAGCTTTGGCTTTGGAGGACGTCCCCTTCCTGGAGGCTTTTGAACAGGCATCTCCCTGTGGTCAGCGATATCATCGATGTCGACTCCTCCATCCATGGTTGGGGGCAGCATGGATCGACGAGAGGGAAACTGATCAGTTTCCTTGGATGCAGCGAGCTTAGAGGCGTGAAAGACTGGGTAAGTTCTGAGATGACCAGGGGTACGGATGACATATGATGGACCATCAGGATCTGTCCCTACTATGTCTAACACTTCCCAAGGTCCAAAGTACTGAGGCATGAGTTTGCGGGATATCCCGAACTCCTGTCCCAGTTCTGAAGATTTGACCCAGACTTTGTCCCCTACCTGAAATGTAGAAGGGCGGCGGTGTTTATTCTCAGACTCTATCATTGCTGCCTGTGCCTTCTGCATGTGTTCTACAGCCTCCTGCATCTTCTGTTCATATCTATAGGCGAACTCCAGAGTGCCCGGTGTAGCAGTTGGCTGGTTGTCTGGAAGTAGGAAATCTAAGGGCAGTCTAGGCTTGAATGTCAGTTGTAGACTGTTAGGACTCGTCCCGGTAGCACTGTGCACAGCGTTGTTATATAGACTAGCGACTAGAGCAAGCTTTTCGTCCCAGATTGGGATTGATGCCTCAACAGGTGTTGCACAGCGCGGTTCATTTGTTCAGCCTGGCCATTAGCTTCTGGATGATTTCCAGAAGTCATCTGCAGTTGAGTTCCTTGTTCAGCTGCAGCGGCCTTCCATAATTCACTCGTGAACCTGACGTCCCTGTCACTGACTATAGACTTCGGCAGTCCAAAGTCTCTAACCCAGTTTTCTTTAAATAGCCTAATCACGTATTCGGTCTTTGCTGTTTCTGGCATAGCTATTAATCTAGCAAACTTACTAAACCTATCCACGATGACAAAGATCTGTCTCATCCCACTCTTGCTGGTGACCAGCGTATCCATGAAGTCCATGGATAAACTTTCACCCGGCCTTTCCGGAATCAGAAGGGGCTTGAGCAGCCCAAGAGGAGCCTGAGTACGAGGCTTGTCTCTCTGGCATACTTGACAAGTTTCCACGTACAGTTGTGCATCTTTCATCATCGTGGGCCACCAGAACCGCTGCAGCAAGTTGGCTGTGGTCTTCTTGTACCCAAAATGGCCGGTGGCATCATGACACTCGCCTAAAAACAAACTACACAAAGACTCGCTATTTGGAACGCACAAGCGTTTATTCCCTGCCTTCTCTAGGAACARCAATCCATTGACCAACTCAAACTCGGCGGAGGTCTTCTTATCCTTCGCCTGAAGTCTGCGTATGATCTCAGACATAAACTGGTCCTGACGATAGGCTTCCACCAAAGACTGAGTAACATTGTCCGTCAGATCGAACTCAGTAATCAGCGTACCTGAGAAGTCCGGTCTGCGCGACAAGGCATCAGCAACCTTGTTGTACTCCCCTTTGAGATACTGAGGGTCAAAGTCATATTGCTCAATGACTTCGATCCAACGCTTGAGAGCGTCAGAGAGTACCGACTGTGTTCTCATCCATCTCAGGGTCTGATGATCAGTCCGGAGGATGAAGAACCGCCCAAGGAGGTAGTGTCTCCAATGGGTGAGAGCCTTGTACACCGCATAGAGTTCCTTCTCATAAGTGGGCTTAGCCAACTTCTGAGACGGCATTTTCTTGGACATGTACTCTACTGGCCTCAA